AACCGCAATCTATAAATATATTATAAAAAAAATGTTACTAGCTTAAAGGTGCAATAACTCTATATTAACAAAAATCGTAGACAAAATGTAAAATATTATGATTTAGTTACTACACATAGTTTATAACTTATCACGAAGAGAATTGTATTAATTCCAGATTTGTATTTAATTTTGCACTGATATCGATAGTTAAAAAAGTTTACCCACGAAGAAATGTGCCTGAAGCATTTTACGTTTATTCCATTCTAATATTTGTATAATAAAGTATTCATGTAGTGATATTTTTTGTATAGATATATATTTAATTATTCTATACCTGGTTTATGATTTCATTTTAATATAACCCAAGAACTGAATTCGGTAATGAACTTTCACAACAAAGTAACAAAACTCCAAAGTGCGAACATACAAGTCAAGTACGGCTTTGGGTCAGTTAGCTAATGAACACTGACTCTGCGCTTGAAGTTTGGCAGGGCACGAATTCAAATATTGGTATTGGTATTGGTAAAATAATTCCAAGACCACCGATGATAAATATTTGGCTATAATGGAAACAGCTGATTGGTCAGCCAAAAATTCAATTAATTGATAAAAATAATAAAATTTTATTGTTGTGATTTAATACTATTCGAAATACCTCTCTATTGAAAACAAAAGTCCATAGTTTAATTTAATATAGTTTAGTTTCTTTTGTCGAAACGGACGTTAAAACTCAAATTAATATATCAATAAATAATTATAATAATACCAAAATATATAAAATGATAGCATTACCTAAATATTTCAACTGAATTTCATTATAGCTTTAGATCTTATGGTAGCCAATATTATTGTATTAAAAGTTCTTTTTTCAAGATTTTAAAGCAAAAATGGAAAAATATAAATGGAGACAATTCAATTTTCAGTGACAATTCATGCTGTTCTCAAAAATCATATTCAGTAATATAATAGTATTATTATTAAATAGTAATATTAAAATTAAATATTATTATGTTCGTTTATTTAAAGCAACAAAGTAAATTAATATTGTTGTGACCTTTAGTACACTCTTCTAAAGGTATTATATACACACATCCTAGGTTTTTGAACCTAGAAAAAGTATAAATTAAGCTATTCCACACAGTAAAGAAATAGTAGAAATTGCAACACCTATTTGATTGACTGTTATATATAGTAGTACTTAGATCAATTTAACAAAAACGAAATAAATAAAATCCATATAGTGTTTTAAGTATCGGGAGAAATTCACCGACCCGAGAGTAATTTCACAATTTTTATTAACATCATTTTTGAACAGTCTGCAAATGATAAGGAAAATACTAATTTGATAATGATTCTAGTCTAGTTAAAGTTTAGTGTGGGGTAGGGATAAGCCCCCCAGCCACAATAGAGTAAAAGTGCGTAATAGCTCTAACTCAAATCACAACAACAACAACAACTAATTTGTTGTGAGAAAGTTTAAAGTGATAGTTAACGTATACTTTACTATTGTTCAGATTTTTAAATAAAGTCCAAAAATATTATAACAACAGTTAATCAACTGCACTTATATAATACGGAAGAAGCAGTCCATAGCGTCCTTTGGGTTTGAAACCCATTTCGAAAACACATTTTGCGTTTTAGATCTGCTTTCTAAATTAAATAACAGCTGTTATATGTTCTTGTTTATAGTGCGTTCTCTTATTAAACTATGTATGATGATTGAAACATCTCAATTAAAAAATTAAGTATGTCTATATATACATATGATTTTTAATCTTAATGAACAGTATAGACAAATAAAACAATATGTCACTAAAAATTGAACTTATCAACCAACTTCTTCATTAAAAGCTCTTATTTTCAACTTTTATTTTATTTATCATTTGTCTGTTGTTTTGGAAAACCATAATAATTATAACAAAAATAATAAATGTTTTTAATAGCCATAAATTTTTAGCGTTTTTTTAAGTGGAACATATAATTTTAATGCCAAGAGTTTTCATAAGACATTTATCATCTATAAAGCAAGATATTTTATGCAATACTATTTACGGTTTGTACTAGAACTGTTTTATTAAAAATAAAAAATTTTAATTTTCATTAATCTACTCGCCTCTCTTTAGGTGTCTATCAATACCATGCTATTTCCAAGAAGTAACAATGCAAATGTAAAAAAACAAATTTGCAACAACAACAATGTCGGTTTGTTAACTATTCGGGGTTTTTTTTTTTCTATGTACAAAATTTGTTTAATTGCATTGTGAGAAAAAGTAAACTGTCCGTTGCGAATAAGTAGTTGGAAATTGAGACATTGTAAGCCATTATTTTTATTAACATAGTTATTTGTGTGAGAGGTTTTAATTTAATTTAATTTTATTTACTGTATTCGCTTGATTTCGCTACTGAATATTTATATTTTGCCGGCATAATTGCTTGCTAATATAAACAATTTATTTATAAATTTATATTTCCAAAATAAATAAGTGTTGTGTTCTTATTTGTAATATATCATATTCTTATATATAATATATATAAATATTATATTCTTCTTATATATTCTTATATATTATATTTGTAAAATTTACATTAGTATCTTACGTTAGTACCTTACATTAGTATCTTACATTAGTACATTAGTATCTTAGAATACTTATATTGGCTTAAAATCCCTATATTTAAAAAAAAAACAAAACAATATATTAAATTTTCCAATATATGACTTATTTTATTCATATACGAGTATAATGATAAGGGATTTAATAATACTGAATAATAGTTTTGTGAATAATAGAATTATATAATGAAATATATACTCGTTAATATGCCTATAGCTACAGTATGTCTTAATAAATTAGAATACACTTATATTAGCTTATTGTCATATTCAAATTACATTAATTAAATATATATTTTTTCTATATATCTATAGTAAATATTGAAATAGAGTATAATAATAAAAATTTGTAATCTTTATTAAATTAATTATTTTTTTTTGTGTACTGTTAAATATTGTATTGTTTTTACTATCAGTTTACACCTTCTTCATTATCAATATTTGATATCCTCCTTCTAATTTCATCATACATTTAAGGTTATAAGAATCTAGATCGTGCGATTTTAATCGAATATAACTACAGTATTGCACTTACACCACTGACTTTATCTTTTATGACCTCTTACCTGCTTTAATCAGTTGAATTTTCCGTGCTAAATATCAAATCTTCTCTTTGGATTAAGATTCTAGATATTGATTCTTTGCAGATTGTTTGACATCTTGCAGCAATTTTTTTTTAAGTTGGTATCTACACAGCATTTTGACTGCTAACAAATTTTATGTATTGGTAAAAGCATGAGAATCCAAGCTAAAATTTAACCAAGGTTCACACTATGTAGATATTGAGTAATGCCATATTCGATTGGTAAATCTGGCATAACTTTTTTTATCAAGATTCACTATTAGTGCACTTTTGATTGGTAAATCTCTGTACTACTCAAGATTATTCTATAATACTCGAGATTAATTTATAATACTCTGGATATTTTGCTACAGTAGTAAGATAATCCTGAAATCAACAGTTGTTTTATTTGACGAGATATAAATTGTGATTTTTTTGATTCGATATAACACAACTATAAATAATATTAAATGACTCTAAAAATAATCGATTGAGCAACAAAATTTGAATCGAGAATAAATCTAGATTGAATGCAGATGTACCAATCGTATACTCCATAAGAATGGCTTTGATGGGTTAAGGTTATGTATTAGGTGTTTTGAGACTCATTGTGATTAGGCACATTAACTCTATTTTAACCGTTTCCAGACGAAAATTTATAAAAAGTAAGTAAATTTCAAAAAGTAATTAATTACTAATTTGTCTTTAAAAAATTTTAAATATTATTATATTATTATTATTATTAAATTATTATTAAAAATATTAATTACTAATAAAAATAATTAAAAAGCAATTTCAAAAAATTATTATTATTGTCAAATGATATTAATAAGTTAAAGTAGTCCTAGTACTAAGTTAGTGGGTAGATATAGTTAAGAGTAACTAAAATAATATATTATTAATAACATAATTAAATTTATAACTTATAACTTATTTATAACTTATTTATAACTTACACGCGTACTGCTTATGTATTTTTCGGACTTAGCACGTGATAATTTGTTATTTTTTCTTAGGGTAATTTTATCACATAAAGAAATCACAGTTTCACAATTTTTGTATATTAGTCTCGGCACATCATTAGATATTATTTCATTTCATTAAATTATTTTAAATCAAGATTGTGTGTTGTGAAAAGAATATGTGTATAAAAACAAAAGGAATTGTGGTGCGACATATTATGGACTCAAGTTGATAATAATAATTTTAAAAATCAAAACACCATCATAAGAAAATATCAGTCAAATAAATTTAGCACTAAAAATAATGTTTTATGTGTTAAACATTTTGGGGCACCAAGTAATCATGTTAGTTCCGACTAAATTTCCCAACCGACCAAATAAAGCCACTGGCTTAAGTGCAAAATTGCATTCAATTTATGCGCGCACTTGAAACTAAACCGAACTGTGGAACCCCCAACTAGTAATTAGGTTGGTTTTTTTTACCACGTCGATAAGTGCGGTATAAGTCGACCACTGAAAGCACTATGCTCTGAATCTACAAGTTAATATAGTGATTTCTACATAATTATTTTACTAAGTATGAAAGATGTTATAATTTGATAATATGTTTTCTAATGTGAATGACTAACTATACAGAGTAAGTAACGAGTAATGCAACATATTGAAACTTTTATTAAAGATACAATAGTATCTCAGCTTTGAGTAGATTGTAGCGATCCTAAGTCGTTAACTGTGCTTAGCTGCTATTTACTACGATCGTTTGAATTCACATACACTCTAACTTTCATTCATTCACTTGCAGTGAATACGCAGAATTCTGTTAGAATAATTGCAAATAAGAAGAACGTAACGAATTGAAATAATTTAGTTACTGGTGAAGTGTGAACGGCAAACGATCGTGAAAGTAATAGAACGGAGAATTATAAAAGTGACTAAAGAAAGGATATAAAGCGAAAGATAGTGTAATAGTGCGAAGTGATAGAATAAAGGCAGACAAACTAAATCAGAGTCCTTTTAAAGGACAAATATTTTATTTTAAAAATAATATAATTATTATATTAATTGTAAATTTATATAATAAACAATATAATTAAGTAAAAATGGGTTTGAAAATGGATGTTGATGAAGTGCGTATGACTTTACAACGTTTTGGCTGGGCCGATTATATTGTATTTTTATTAATGTTGGCCAGTTGTGCATTGATTGGTATTTATTTTGCAATTCAAATGCGACGTCAATCAAAATTGAAAAAAACTACCAATAATAAGGATGCTGAAGATACCTACTTAGTAGGCGGAAGAACAATGACAATTTTTCCAATCACAATGTCACTGATATCAAGGTAAGAGAGAATGCATTTATTCAATATACTATAAAAAAAAATAATTAAAAATGCATTTATAATGCAATATATTTATAATGCAATATAAATAATAATACTGATATAAACAATTAGAATAATATTAATAATAAATATTATTTTATAGAAATAGAAACAAACACTTAAATTATAGTACAATAGTAAGCTAAATATATATCTTTTATATTTTTACTATTACTAAATTAATATATAATAAATTAATATATATTATCCAAATTTAAAAATTGGGATCGAAAAAAATAATTTATTCATCTTAACAATAATCTACGTGGAGTCCTCATGTTAAAATAAATTATTAATTTTATAGAAATGATAAAATACAATAAAAAAGAAATCTGTTGCTAACGTAAAAGAATAAATAAAATAAAATTAAAAATAAATAAATTTTGCTTTATTTTTAAGACCAAAAATGCTGTGATATTTATGATATATTAAAAATAAGATAATAATTTAATAAGATTATTTTAATGGATTACAAATAGTATTATTTATATTATATTGATTATTTATTTTCTAATCCGTTTTATTGTGTTGCTTTTTAGTTGTTGTTTTTTTAATATTCATTCAAATTGAAAATAAAATTGGAGTTATTAAATATAATATACTCAACGTATTTAATAAAAAGTTTTAATAGTTTTATAATTTATTCATTTAACATTTTTTTACTAAATTTGTTTTTACTATTGTATTTACATATTACTAAATGGAAGCACCTCAAATGAGAGGTCCCTGAAATTCGTAAACGAGAGTACAATATCTTCCATCCACGGTTTGATAATATTAAACAGGGTCTTCAGTTCTTTTACCGGCTCTACTCAATGTTTAGTCACAAGGAATATGACCGAAACTATCATATAAATCAATATGAATATAAGTAAAATCAATATTCTGTCACCTCAGCCAGATCTATATAGATAAAATGTTAGCGTTCGTTATTATCAACCATCAAATGAAGTGCTAGCAACATTAACTCCCTTTTACTCATCATGGAAGACTATGTAATTGTAAATATCCATGAACTGGCTCTTTAGGTTAGCGGTTACTAAAGGCAATATCTGTCCAATGTCGTATCTAGTGAAGAGTTGGGAGTATTAAGAAGTTTATGCTCCCTTGACAATATAATCTGCGAATAATATACTATAAAAATACATCCAAAAAAAAAATGTTCTAGTATAGCAATCCGCCATTGCCACAACCAGTTAATCAACTTTATGTTTAAGTGGGCGTTTAATATATAAGCTCGGTTTTTTTAAATAAAAAAACATTCTACGTTATTAAACAAATTTACTTAGATTTCGAAGACGTCGATGTAAAAAAATAATATATTTTATATAAAGTCATGTACTTAGGCTTGATCCTTATTCATATTTTATATTAGTAGGGTATGTCTGGGATATAGGAATTATCCCTCAAGTATTTATAAATGTGTTATAAGCGGTAGCATTTATTATATGACAATAAATCAAAAATTTAATTTCAACATAAAAGTTGAAGAACATATATAGAAATATATCCAGTAATTAATATAAAAGTATGAAGTATTACTACAATGACTTTTATTAGCAAGGCTGAGATGTTGCATTATTATAGTCATCGTAATAGTGAGCCTGAGGAACGTCACAAACGCAGATTTTCAAATAATAATTTTTTTTTATACCTAAACCAGATTTTTGGAGATAAACTGTTTTAAGTATTGGCAAATACCCATCATTAGTGATCCTTTTCAAAATATTTTTTATCTATGATTATCTTAAATAACCTTTTAAGATGATAAATACCAAGGATTGAATTTGCACAATGTCGAATTTGAAACTCAGAGTCAGTGTTCATTAGCCAATTGACCTAAAGCCGTAATGGACTTGTATGTTTTTGAATTCGCTTTGAGAATTTATTGATAAATTCACTTACTGTGATATATTGGGACAAAATCATGATCCAGCTATAGAATAATTGAATTATAGTATTTTTAATTATAGTATTTTCAATTATTGACCTTCAGTGATACTCAGTGATATTCATAATTTTATATTACTTAAATTATACCATTACTTAAATTCTATTTCAAATCTTTGACATTAAAACTATTAACACCTAATATTTACACTGGTAAATAGCGCAATTTAAATAAATAAATATTATTTTAGCTTTTAACAATTTCAGTACAAAGAATTAATATACATAGCTATGGAGAACTCATATGAACTCTTCCGCGTTACATTGTTCTCGTTTATGAGGATTCATGTTCAATTGCTTATTTCATGAAAATTGAGCTCACCTCTAACTTATTGCCATTATGTAAAATTTTCTTCAATTTAATCTCTTTCCAGTACTTTTTCGTCGATCTGTACTAGAAACATTTTCAATAGAGAAATGTTTATTTAATCATACGTCTCGTACGATTCCATTACAAAGTCCATTATTTACTTGCTTATCACCGGCACACGACACGACATTATAATGGCAAAACATACTATTAGTGAAGAATAAAATAAAGTCTTCAAAAACTATACACAATACTTTTATATTAAATGATTATTTATTACCCAAGTATGCACTTAGGTTTGTTGTACCACTTGAAATGCCAACGAGTACCAATTTCCAACAGTGTCATGCTGACTGTGCCTGGAAATGGAGGTCATCATCATGATGATCATGTCTAAATAAAGCGCTTTACATATGCTAAATTTTAGTGGAGCCAATCAAAAAATATTCACTGGTGCCGGCTAAATAAAATTAAGTTATTCTATATATAAATTTATAAATCCATTATATGCAAACGTTCATATAGACATACTGTAGAGATATTTTAATAAATTTGTTTGTTTAGTCTAACATATAGCAGTCATGCTAAATCTGTTTGCAAAATCTGTTTATACTAAAGTGTATCAAATCGTATCACTCGGATTAACTCATTCACAATTAGTAAATTGCTGTGATGTATCATGCTCACATCTTCGGACAGTGAAGCGCAAGCTTTCAAAGTTGAAATTATGAAAAGTATAACACTCGACATAATGAAACCAATGATTATATTAAATGCTTGCAAATACAATAATAAAACCATCATTTTTAATGTTTGCAAATAAAAAATTTATTGTTTAATTGGGTTTTGACGCGATGTTGCCTACATTTCGGTTTAGCAACAAAAAGCGTGTAACAATTTATGTTTAATTAAATTGTATAAAACGCAATTCCATAAGTTTATCACGACAAGGTGCAGAAGAGATAACAATTGCTGAAGAAATATCACTGAGAAAACTGGAGCTGTAATTGAAAGACTGTCTCCCACAAACGACTAATTCAATTAAAAGAAAGTAAATTGGCATGAAGTTTCATCATTCGTAAAGACTCTTTCGTGTGCAATATAGTTGGATTATGAGTGGAATCAATCTTTTTATTAGAGTAATATTTTTTTAAATCTATACACTAATACATGTATATATAATATATATATAGTGGACTCAAGATAGTTAGATTTTGAGTGCAATAATTTTTTTTTATGAGTAACTTTTATTTCAAAAATTATTTATTAATACAGATATATAACAGTATACAGTACACAATGTTCACAATTATTATTGGAAAATATAAAAAATCTAAAACTTAATACTAAAAGTATTACTAAATGATTCTTAAAAACTATGCTTAGTATTTATAGATAGCTCTTTATTCACAATTAAAATAATATGTATATAAAAAGTTGAATTGCTTTGAACTGCCTATCTTAATTCAGACCAGAATAATACACACTTATGTCGTACTTCCTCCATTTTTGAACCTGAATAGTCATAATACGTATATAATAATAACAACCCTTGCTGGAACATTAATTTAGAGTCGCCTCTATTATAGAGATATAGATGTATAGAGTCCTCTGGATATAAAGAGTCCAAAAGTCGTTCATCCCTTTCCTATCGCAATGCCTAATCATTGAGTTCGTCAGTATTATTTATTCTTCTGATCTAAGATTCTCAAATGGCATTTATTTTATTTATAATTTATCTTCTAAAGGTTGCTTTAGGGAGGTCCCTTCCCCTGCTTCACTGAAGGATTGTTTTAAAAACTTGTTGACACATTTTCCTTGATGGTTTCCTTAGCGTATGTCCACTCAACTCAAATTATAGTTTACGTTTTCCTACGTTTATGTTTCTAAAGTTTCCTCTAGACAAAAACTTTAATATCAGAATGACCGAAGCAGAATAAAGTATTTTTACTTTTATGTCTCTAAGTTCTCTACTGGACCAAACTTCTTGATCTAAAATTCTGACAAACCTTCTTAGTTTGTTTAATATTTGTTCTGCAAGAAACCAAATTTCGCTACCGTACAAGAGAACAAATAGCACACATGTTGATCCCTTTTTTATTATTACTTTAGGTGTGCAGTCAATTAATTGTCAATGCTTTCTTTACTAAGTTCTGGTTAGTTTGTTCTGTGCCACTATTTTCCGAAACAATATTATCAAGCATTTTCTGCATGATTGATTATTTAATCTCATATTTTTGCTAGTGTTATATGTATATATGTTTCATATCTAAGTTTCAAAATATTCCTTCAGTAGCTGGCTATATAAGCTTTATTAAAAATTTAATTCATTATTTTATGACATTATTCAATGGCAATGACATTATTCAATACCACCATAAAAAGTTAAAGTGCTCCTGAATGATTAAAGAAACCTTTAACAACTTATTCCCCTTAGCCTTTTAAGATGACAATATATTTTTGGTTGTGATGCATAGAATAAATTACTTTGACAAATTATAAAATTTAATAAAAATGTGTGGTTTAATTAATATATATATATATATGATATAATTTTGTAAGTTATAAATTAGAGGCTCACAAATTAGAACTATTACAAATTCAAATTTTCCAGAAATTAGAACCAAAAAATTTCAATACATTGTATACACTAAAAGCTCTAAAATTAGAACTTTTGGTTCTTATTTGTGAGCGCATT